TATCCGATGTTAGGTGACGGAGGATAGGGAGGCTCGAGGTCCTAGAGGATTTGGTGGATTCTATTCTTTAGCTCTGACCCATCATGGCGGGGCTTTACTGGTTGGCCAGTTTAGTCTGCACTTCAGGTTACCCATATTACTCTAGCTAGCCAGGGACCCTAGGGTACTCGTGTCGAATAGCCATCTTTCAGTGTACCTACTGCACAAAGTTCCTACCGCATTTATTCCAGTCATTCAACACAGACTCAGTACCACCAGCCAAGGCCGCAGAGGAGTTGTTATAAGTGTGGTGATACTTGGCACCTCATGAGAGATTGTTCCAAACTCCGGAGAGGAGGACTTCATCAGAGAATTCAGGCTATAGGTTCCACTCTAGTTGCTAACCCACCTGACCAATTGTTTTGATCATTTGCATTCTTTGTTCGATGGTTCGAGGTCGCGAGTAGCTTCATATGATGTATTATAACTTACGTGTATGGTTGGTTTCGATTTTCAAGCAGTTAGGGATTGATTGGATGAATGATTCTCATTTTGGAAGCTTTAAGTTGGAAGAGTTGACCAAATTTGACTTTGTGTATTTTACTTCGGATCGGAGTTTTGATCATTCCTTTAGGTCTATATGTTGATTTTGGACTTATATGTGTATACAGATGTGGATTTGGATGCGCCTAGGTTGTTTTGGATTGAATTGGTGAAAGTTGGATAGTTGAAAGTTGGGAAGGTTGAAAGGTTTGACCGAGAGTTGACTTTATTGGTATCGGGTTTGGATTTCAATTCTGGGGATTGGTGTAGGTTTATTGTGACATTTGGGACTTGCCTACGAAATTTGAGGTCATTCAGAGTTGATTTGATATGGTTCGCTACGAGTTTTGGAAGTTGGGAGTAGTTCATTAGGATTGAATTGAGGTATGATCCATAGTTTTGATGTTGTTTGGTGTGATTTGAAGCCTCAAGTAGGTCCATGTTATGTTTTGGTATTGGTTGCTTTGACTGGAGGGGGTCCCGGGGGCTTCAGGTGTGTTTCGAACGAGTTTTGGACCAATTCGCTCATGTTTGGAGTTGCTGATTTTCTGGAGTTTTATTGTTCATCGCGATCACATATGAACCAGCACGATCGCGAAGTGTTATTTGGGTTACTGATGTTTTGGTCCTTGCGTTTGCGGATCTTGTAGGGGAGGTGTTCATCGTGTTCGCGCACATGTGATCGTGTTCGCGTACGGTGAAGACTGGATGGGTCGCTAGTGGATGGTCTTCGGATTCACGTGTTGGAGGTTGTGTTTGCGTAGTCTAATTGAGGTGATGGGTTGCGTTCGCGGGGCTTAGACCGCGTTAGCGAAGAGGATTTTGGCCAGCTAATGATTTATTCTTTGCGATCGTGAAGTAGGACTTGCGATGGCGAAGAGGACTCCTGGGCAGACTTATATAGTACTCTATTTCGAGGGCTTTTGTTATTTTTATCACATTTTGAGTTATACAGCTGGATTTAGGCGATTTTGGAGGAAAATTTCACGATTTGGATTGGGGTTTTTTTTTATTCGGATTTGGTTATATTTTATGATTCCATCCTTATTTTTAGCATTTATTTGATTAATCTAAGCAAGAGAAATTGAGGAGTTTAGTAAGAACTTCTATAAATTTGAAATTTGAGGTCGAAATTGGATAAAAGTGGTAAGGTTGCACTCGTATTTGAATTGGTGTTTGGAATTTGTGAGTTTTGTCGGGTTCTGGGGATGCGGGCCTAGGGTTGACTTTTGAGGTTGACTTTTTTATTCTTATTTAAGATCGAAGCTTTATTATTCGTAATCGGTTCCTATGGCTTTTACTTATGATATTAAGTTATTTTGGCTAGATGCGAGCTGTCCGGAGGTTGATTTGCGCAGGAAAGACTTAATAGAGGATTGATTTAGCTTATTTGAGATAAGAATCTTGCCTAACTTTGTGTAGGGGAACTACCCCATAGGATTTGGTCTAATTGCATTATTTGAATTATGTGAAAGACGTGTACACAAAGTGACGAGTGTGTATCCAGGCTTATATATGAAAATTGACCGGTTAAGACTCTTAGTTTATTAATATGTTTTAAACTAAAGTTGTTGTTATATGGAATATTTTTTATTGTCGAGTTAGGGCTATGCTTGATTGTGATTTGATATTGTTATTTCAGCTATATCGTGGCATATGTGGACATATTGTGGGGATTGATTATTGATGTGTGGAACATAAAGATGGCATTTCACTATTGTTGATTGTGCAGAGCGATACGGGTGGTTGTTGATATGTTGTCTAGGCGGAGTGATATGGGTGGCTATTATGATATTGTCAATGCAGTGAGATAAGGGTGGCTATATGGAGATGTTATGTGATGGCCTGGGGGCGTGTTGTTGATGAAAGAGGGGTATTGTAGTTGTTACTTTTGACTTCCTTGTGTGTGTCATGCATATTACGTGATTTGTCGTGCTGTTCCCAAGGTGGTGCTCGGTGTCTCTGATAGTACTTGATTATTTGAGTTGTGATAGTACACTTTCACATGCATACACCGTAACATGTCAATTATGCCAGTCCAGGAGTATGAAACTTAATGTTCATTGATGATGTACATGTATTCTTGTATATCTACTTTCTCTACGATGTGGTTTGGACTGGCTCGTGACTATGCCGGACGGATTGTGGTATTGGCACGTGAGTTGTCCGCGCGGTTGTGACTTATTTTAGGAGCACGAGGTGTCATGTGTATAAGATTCGTGATTTGTGACTTGAGATTTGGGATTACGAGGTGTGTGCCTCGGGTTGACTCTTGTTCTAAATCCTGTGTCAGAACAATTTGTTGATTAGATCTATCATTGTTTTTCCTTAATTGTTTTTTGTATTTTATTTGTACTTTGATTATTTTGTTGTTTTATCACATGATTTCTCTTTATGTCATTTATTTATTTTGCTTTTCGTTGCTAGATTTATATTGATATTTTGCATAGGTTACTTGATTAGTGAGTGTCTTGACTTGAACCTCATCACTACTCAACCGAGGTTAGTCTTGATACTTATTGGGTACCGACCTTAGTGTACTCATACTACACTTCTATACATTTTTGTACATATCCAAATATTCGAACTAGCAGATTCAGGCAGTGAGAGATTCTTGATCGTGAGGATTCAAGGTAGAGCTGCTTGATCGTCGCAGTCCAGTGTCCTTTCCGTACTTTATTACTGTCAAATCTCTATCCGAACAGTATTGTATTTCGAGTGTTTCTATGTAGTGAGTAGAGTTCGTGACTCTATAATAGTTAGTCTTGGAAAATTTGTTATGATTATTGTCATGTAGGCTTGTATAACCTTTATTTCTGTGTTTATATTAAATCATGTTTTCTATGTCATGTTTAATTGGTTTAACTATCGTAAGTGATCGACTTACCTAGTTTTAGAGACCAGGTGCCATCACGATCCATAAGGTGGGATTTTGGGTCATGACAGTTCAACTAAATACAGAATTTTAAAAAGCAATAAAAAAGCAATAAAGACTTCTTAACTTGTGATTCTAAATATGTCATAACATTTTGTGACTTTAAAATCATATTATTAACAGTAAAATGAGTATGATGGGACTAAATTATTTCCGGAAAGACAAAGTTATCATTGTTATTTGAATAATTAAAAGGAAAAAAAAAACCTTTTTTCCGAAAAAACAAAGTCATAGTTGTTATTGGGACTAATTAAAAGAAAAGAGCGTCACATCAAATGGAACAAAAGATATATTAGCATCCAATAAGATCTGAGTTCCTCATCTCTTTTATCTCCATGAGAAGAAAGATCCGTTCTATATATCATGTAGGACAAGTTTGGAAAATTACAATCCGGAAGCTCCCTCACAACAAAATTTGCCACTAATTTGCACTATGAAGCAAACCCTTGAAATGAAATCGAATTATTGCTACTAAATTCACCGAAGTGGAGGTCAATCCAACCTATAAAGATATCAGTACAAAAGAATAAAGGATAGGAACTCCACAGAATGTGCAAAGTAAAATCAATGATGGTCTCTGTATTGGCTGAGGCTTGATGCAAGTATCTGGAAGTTCCAAGCTAAAACTGCTGGCATTGCAACTCCAAATTTCTGGAAAATAGAGAAAGAAAAAGAATGCTATTTGTTGGCAGGCTCCTCATCCCAATTCCAAATGTCAAGTGAGATGCTATTTGTTGGCAGGCATCTCAATTCACAATTTCCTTTGAGAAAGGCAAATGCTTGTAAACTGACAATTAGTCAACCTGGTTGCTTTAAGGAATTAAGCAGTTTCTTCTATCGTAATCTGTATAACCCACATCGACCATGCAAAGACCATCGGGCGGAGCAGGTGGAGCAGTGGCACGCCTGCAGGTGGCATCCATCAGCCTCAGCAAGGCACCATCATCGACTCCAGCAGCTGCTTCCCTAATCGCTGTTGCCACAAGAACACGAACCATCTGCAAAGCATAGCAAGTGAAAATATGCATGTTGCAACAGTTCAAATGACATCGCACAATGGTCCAAGTTACTCCTTTAATGACATAGTGACCTGTAGGTCAACAGTTCAAAGAACATGGTACAATCGGAAGGGAAGTATAAAGAGTATATAGGCAACGGTAATCTTCCTTCTTAACTATCACATCAACACTTTTTCAATCTCTCCTAAGAACGAAAAGAAACCCGGTTACGCTACAGGTCTAGGGTGTGAGCAGATAGTTGTGAAAGAACCTAAGCATCCAACACAAAATCTTACGACAAAGGGTGGAGTGACCAAAGCCTTTATAAACCCTTCTGGAAGCCTTAACAAAATCCCTATGGGACAAACATACTCAATACTCTATTGCAAGTGTAACATTGATTTTGGGGTTTACACGTGGACGTTAATGTGGATTACGAGTGTGAGGGAACATATAGAAATTTCTCGGAACAACCATACCCTCCGCAAGAAACGGTTAGCGACCAACTCAATGCACATCGTCTTCATATGACCCCCGCCCTACAATTTCAGTACAAGAAAAGAAAAGGATTCTTAGTGAAATAATTGATTTAATGGCAATGTAACGCACATGAATCAGATCAGACATCAAAAGTAGTTTGAATCCAACAGCTTCAGCAGACAATTAAGCAGCAAAAGAAAGCACAGATAGGGTCTATGATGGCAAAAGGAAGAAAAAGAACAGGATCAGAAATGAAGAAAAAGATGAAATAAAATAAGTACAGTCAACCCTCTCTATAAAGCCTCGTTTGTTACGATATTTTTTTACTTTTATAGTGAATGGTTGTTATATACATATAACATCATTTGAGGTCTAAATACTTTTTGGCCGTTATAGATAAAAATTATCCAAAAATCAACTAATTTTCATTCTTCAATGTTACATATAAAAGATGAGAAAATTATGCAAATTTAAAATCTCAAAAGATATGGATATTTCACTTGTTGAATATTGAAGAAAGCTAATACATTATTAATAAATTCATAACTAAACTTATACAGATTTAAACTCTAAGGCACACACTTTAAAGCTACTTAGGAAAATATATTCTTTTAAAATTAATGGAAGAACTTTGTAGCTTATTTCATAGATTTCATTATCTTACTAGCGATATAACTCTTGAATTTGTGAAGATTTGTGTCAAAATTTTCAGCAAAAAGGTATCCAATAGCTTTCCCTCGAAGACAATCTAAGAGTTTAACAGTTAAATCTTCTATCTAAATATTTTGTTGGCATTTGTCCAATGAAAAGATATAATGTGCAAATCTTGAAATCCTATGTCTTATGCAAAATAGAAACTTTGTTCAATGGAAAAGATTATGTGCATATTTTTAGAATTATTATTAGTCCTTAAAGATTCTATACGGTTGTTATAGAGGGGTTAATTTTACAAAAAGCGTTCCGCTATAAATATGGTTGTTGTTATAGGTAAAACAACTGTTACAGAGAGGTAAAATATAACTTTAAAAATCGGTTCTGAGGAAAACTTGGCTTTTTTAGTGAATTGTTGTTATATAGGGATGTTGTTATATAGAGGTCTGAATGTACTCCAAATTCTTAAACTAATATCCATCTTTAATCTACAATGTAACTGGCAGCATCACATGGAAACCAGTAAAGACATTTTTCTTATGTAGGTTTGACAAAATTTTAAGGTTTGGCATACTCTTAGACACTAATGAGTTAGAATCTTTTTGATATTGATGAAATTAATAGTTTGTTGATGTAAAAGGGAAATCCACACATACAAGGTGTATACAACAATAGAGAATCTAAAAGAGGTGGTCCTCTAATATACAAAAAAGACAGAAAAGTTACAACTAATCTTAACATAAGTGCCAAACGAGCCCCTTCACTTGCTCACCTTCTCTGACTCTTCCTTTTGAATTCCCATCCTAGGGGCATATATGACGGGAATCACACATTTAATTCCAAACACACTACACACCATATACGGTTGCCCATGTGCATGCAGAGAGTGCATTTTTTTAAACCTCTTAGCTCAATCATCAAAGCGAAACAAAAATAAAATCAAACACATGTACTCAAAAGTTCATCAAAATCCTCCACATGCAAAATGAACCAAGCCGCATGTTCTCCATTAAACACACAACAAAAACTGTAGATATCCCAGCATACCACATGTTTCATGAAGAATTACAGAATGCAAAAATTATCTTTGCAGAGGATACCCTGTGCCTCAATCCATACTACCTTCTTGTTTTGCAGGGTAAAATCCAAGTATACCTCTAGTCAAAGTGACTCTTTTTAGACAACAATGCAATGTTTGGTTCATTGATTCCTCATTCCAACTCCTTTTTTCTCCCCCCCCCCCCCC